GGTAAAATCAGCAATAAGGATATATTCGTGGATAGCAACTAAATTCCAAACATGACTCGTTTATATATATAATAAAGGCACTGTGGGATAATGTTTTTCAGAAGCAGAAGGGCCAGAGAAATCTTAATACCGATTTACATAATGCATACACCTGCATACCTACGAGTATACGGTATCTCCACCTGACTTTGGAGGGAAACATCACAAAATACACTTGTTAGTACATGAAGTGACTTCATTTGAAAGGATACTCTGTTACCTCAGTTGGTATCATGCTGAACTATGGTGGAGCGGATCGCCCTGATTCGAATCCTCATCAGATTGCTCTTGAACTTGGGTTGTTTTAGGCTCTCACCCATTTGGCTTTATCTCAATATAATTGAAAATAGGCATTAAAGTCCAGTCTCTGAAATAACAGTGTTGAAAAGGGCATCTATACAACAACAACTTTAACAACTTGACTTGAAAATTACACACTTGTGTTCAATCATCAATGGCTCACTTGAAAGTTAAACTTACAACAAACAACTGTCAAGACATTTACACACTGATGTGAATGACTCACAAGAAATGAGCACTCTTGTGCATAGTTTACACATTTAAATTGATTAAATTCATGTCCAATAACACACTTGAAATGTACCCAACAAAACAAAATCAAACAGTCCAAATTTTCAGATTATACATTGAAAGTGAATTAACAACAGGATTTGTAAAAAAAAATGACCCCAAACACCATTCTCATCATATCCATAAAAAACAACTGACCAATTTGACAATGCACATTGTACCAAATGACAGGTGATTTGTAAGCTTATAAGGGACACAGTCTGAGTATGGAACATCTGCAACTAAATGGCATTTTATTGATAGTTATGACTGCTCCTACAACTTACTTTGCCTACAAATAAAGACAACAAAGAAATGCAACAATAGCAATACAAGTCACCTCTATAACAATCATCTTATAACTTTCTGGATCTTCCTTCTAAGTAGTATGTTCAGGAAAAAACAAATATACATCCTGCAGCATTATGTGTGTATCACCCATGTATATCTGAAAAAAAATGTTACCAAAGCAAATTAAACGTAGCCCCCCCCCCCCCCCCTCCCTCCAGGGTTGTTCTCTAAAATGGGGTGGAGTGCCAAAAGGAAAATACTGAATTGACCATCATACAGATCGTGATATGTCAGGCAGCGTGGTGAAATCAGGCGCTAGTCAAAATAATGAAATTGAAGAAACTGGCATTTTTCTGCCAGCTTTTTTATAAAATTTTTATTTCTTGGCTTAACACAATTGTTGTCCAATTAAGAACACATTTCTGGATGGATTTTACTGAAAAAAGTTAATTCAAAGTACAAAAAATGCAAGTTTTCAGTTTCTACAGACTATCAAGCTATGGAAATAACCAAACTTTGGCAGCCATTTTCTTGCTAATTCTACCTTGGAAACCAGGTGACCCCATCTTCTTCAATCACAAATATCTTGACTCATGTTCAAGATAGACGGGTATTTTTTTCACTGATAACAAGACAACTGAACAACTTTTAAGATGATGCCAATAACTCTGCACGCCCAAAAATTGACGAGCGCCTGATTCCACTGCGTCGTGACACATATGTTGTAAAGGAAAGCATATCAAAACTATTATAAAGATAGCAACATATTGCTTACAATTTTTTTTAAGAGATAAAAATCACCAAAAAAAAGGATAAAGAGTAAGAAGTATATACCACATCAATTATACCAGTGGTACCCTCAAAACACCCGTACCCTTTACAGCATAAGATATAGTATATAATTCATGCACTTATTATCATTATATTATTACAAAAAAGACTGCACAAGTGTTTCGACACCCCTGGAGTAATAATTCCATGAATTAGGCTCTTCATACTTTAATGCAAAAGATGCAAGTTTTATTCCAATAGGTAATCTAGTATCACTGTTTTTCTGCTAGAATGATGTATCCAATTGAATATAATAGCAGGTTGGCCCTGAAAGACTGGGTAGAAGCAGCTCAGTACCTAAACAATCTAATCTGTACTAATGGGGGAGGGGGAGGGGGTTGCAAAGTTTATACTTCCTAGTTATTTTTGTGATGTTAGATCTGTCCACACAAAACTTGAGTGTGATTCCTGCATGGGAAAGTTATTTCATGGAGTCACTGAGGATCTTCGTCTGTCTGCTGGGATATAAAATCCTACTTGGCCCGGATTGGCCTTGACATCAGAGTCGGACTAGCCTGCCTCCTAAAAGATCTAACTAATGTGTACACTAATGATGAATGTGTGCCTTTTTATAGCAAGCACAGGAATATTTTATGAACAGCAATAGCTTAAATTCAAAGTTGGCCTTTGAGGCACATATTCAGTTGGCAAACTGGGTGAGCATAACAAAATTGGGAGTTTGAAATCAAGCTGGGATACACCTAGATTTCTCTTATTAGACTATTTTTCCTCTCAGCCAAGTGCTTCATAAACTGAGAATGAAAAGCTCTACTTCTGAAATCACTTATAAAATAATCACAAAAACCCTATGAAATCACATTTAAAAATCCCAACAGCTGTTGAAAGAGAATGAAAGGATCTCCACCTCAATCAGATAAAAGGAGATTCCCATTCACAGAAAATCAACTTTTAGTTTAGTTTTAGTAAGAGTTTTACGGCACTTGCAACACAATAGGTCATATAAGTGCAAAAGAATAGATGTGTTACAAGAGAGTATCGTACACAAAAAAGGAGAGATAAGGACGATAAATGTTTGATAGGAAAGAAAGAGCAAACCACACCAGATCGCCCGCCTTATTTCTGTTCATAAAGCAGTGGGTCTATAGATCTAAATAAGGCACAACTCAACATGTTAGCCACAAGTGAACAGCTCAGTATAGTCTTTGTCTTTACTCATTACTGTAACTCCCACAGCTGAATGCACGATGAGATCAGTCAGTCAACAAGGCACTTGACTATACAATGAGTGAGCTGAGTTTGAACCACTGACTGAAAGAAGATTCGAGACTAAGACTTTGAAAGAATCTGCTCAGAAATATTTGGACACCTCATAAAAATATTATTATGTGCTTTGACAGTTTTGGTTTCTCACAGTATACTAAAAAAACAACCCTACAATTTAAGATCGTCACTGTTTTTCCTGAAACAGTTTGAGTTGGGGGTTTTTTATAGTAGAGGGTTTTACAGCGCTCGCAACTGCATAAGGTCATATGAGCGCCAAAGGGTGGGTGTCAACAGAGAAGTCTTTATAGGGAATCAGACTTATTCTGCTCACCTCTCTAGCTTCAACAGCACAAGGTCTGCTTCGACTATCAAGGCACCCCGGAAATAGCAAGTCACAAGCGAGTGATAAACATACAAAAGAAGTAGAGGAAAAAATGACAATAGTAAGGATTAAGAAAGAAAAAGCAGCAGTTCCCTGTTCTTGATCAGGCACAGTTATGAGCGTGACATGAATCAGCCCATTTAAAATTCTACTGTGCTTAAACGAGAAATGTCCCCCCTTTGGGAATGGCCTAAAGACACTACAGTCAGTGGCACTGCCCCGGGGGTTACAGTTTGAATTTGAGCTTCGGTAAAATTATGATTCAGTCCTGGCAATAAAAGCCTGTTCAACAGACTAGCTATTAAATTAACTTTAAGCCAAATTAAGCAGCTTTCTAAACTCTCGTGTTCAATGAAATAGGAGAAAAGATTAAATAGCTGTACGGTTCTATAATTTAAGCAACCCTCTCGTCTTGAGTGACCCCCCCATTGAACTACACAACTTGTGAGCATGGAATAAAATTCCCCTTTGAGCACAGCTACTCATGGCTAAAAAAAATAGGATCGTTTTCTCGACTATAACAATACTTATATATATATAATAATAATAATAATAATAATAATAATTGCATTTATATAGCGCATAGCCAAGCTCAAGAGCATACTCTATGCGCTTTACAACTATTATTACCCCAGCAGACCCTCTGAGAACACTCAGAAACATTCTCGGCTTCCGCAGAAGCATACAGTGCAAGCTGCGGATTTCACGCGCTCAACCACTAGCAAACTGACAAGATCGTTCACTGTCTATAGCCGGGTACCCATTTCCACCTGTATGAAGTGAGGAAAATTTGTACAAAGTGCCTTTCCCAAGGACACAACGTCGGGCCCCTGACGGGATTCGAACCCCCGACCTTACGGTTTCGAGTCCGAGAGCCTAACCACTAGGCCACCGACGCCACTATATTCCTGTATGCTCCCAAAAATTGCACAATTGTCTGAAATATAGAAACTGTAAATGGTAAACACTAAATATGCTGAAGAAGAGTTACTGATTATTTTGGTGTTTTAATAAGTCCACTGAGGGGCATTTTATAAAATCGTGGGTACACATATTGCATCAGTAAATATCTGTTGAATTCACACAAGTGATCGCAGAGAAATCTTGCCACAAATTGTCCATGGTTTTACAGTCAAACCTTTCAATACCACCACCCTTGGGACGAGCATGAAGTTGGCTGAACGGTGTTGAGCTGGCAGATCAATGAGGTTCCTCTGCTGTATAGCCCCGACTGCCCAACCTCAAGGAACATGATTCTACTGTGCAATCTGTGTTTGAAAAGTGACCTTTTGTGGTGAAATAATACATGTACATGATGCAAATGTATTCAGAGCTGAGAGTCTTCTCTCCCTCTTTTTCTGTATCTTTGAACTTATCAAGTTCGTATATCCCTGGCAGTCAATTCGCTGGCGGTATGGCCAGGCAAATTTACATTAGTTAAATAAGGACATGCAGCTCAGACAGTTGGCAGAAGGCAGTGTGAAGGCGTGAATACTTAAATGTAGGCGCTCCTTTTCATACAGTGGGAAAAACTTGGCGGTAAGAGGGGCTGGTGGT